CAGGGAACAAGAATATTATTTCAATTTTTGAGGGTGAAGTCTTCGACTAGATACGATTTGAGATCTTTTGACGTATCGTCGAAAGAAATTGGATCGATAAGAACTGAGAAAAAGTGGTAACAGACACAAAAAAAAAAATAAATAAATAAATGAAAATAAAATACACATAGAAAAAGTAATTCTTTCTCAGCTTCGCATCGAAGCTAATATAGTAGTTTTTTATCTTATTATCAAGTGAAAAATAAGGATAGAAAATGAGTGTTTTACCCAAAATCTATACTTCTGTACTTTCCAAATATTGTGTAAAACTCGACATTTTATTTTATATTGTGTTTTAAAATACACCACACCTTATCAAATTATTTTTAACGTATGATAATTTTTGAAATTATTATTTTTAGTTTAAATAATTAAATTAATACTCCATTATTTTATTTTCGACGTATAAATAACTGTCTTCAATTTTAAACAATATGATATTGGATTCAATGTTTATATACACAGTTATTGTTGCCAAGGTAAAATACATGTTTAAAAATGAATGTCTTTATATACATTTAGAATAAAAATGTTACATGGGAATATCCAGTTATGTGATACAAACTTTGGTATGTGACAATGTGTTAAATATAATATTAAAATTATTCTTCTAAATGAGCATTCAGTAATTTGCCATAGCTTACTATACGCAGATTTAATATATAGTTGCTTATAATAGCACTAACATTAAAATACATGTATAATTATGTTTTGGTTTATTATTATTCATTATTTGTTGATTTTTGCTTTTCAAATCAGATTCTATTTAAATGATTTTATAAAATTTACTAGATATACTCTAAAATTCAATAAAAAATCTTATAAAAAACAGACAGATTAAACTATAAATTGTTGAGTTTATTCTTCTATAAATCTTTTAAATATTGCCAAGGTAAATAAGAGCGGACACATTGAAATTAAAAGACAATTGCTCCCAAAGTTAATATTAAATCAAATATTGTCACTTAAGTTGTATGATTTTGAAAAATAATTTTAAATTAGTCTAAATAAGTAGAATAGTTAAATTGTCGAGTTCAAAAAGGGAACATATCACAAAAGGTAAATTTTAAAGAGACACAATCTAGTAACAAAGAACTGAAAATAATTTGTGTAGTTTTAATATATATATATATTTAATTACATTTATTTTATACGTGACTACAGGGTATGTATCTTTCTAACAACCAATATTCTTCAAAGTATAATATTTTTTATTAAATTGGAAGAAAATGTAACGCGAGTGGGTCTACACTACGTACTTGTGTATGTGTATTAGGGTGGTCCTTAGTTATAGAAGAAAAAATTTTTTTTAAGAAATTCAGAGTCATGGACTCAAAATTTCGTTATGTTTACTGAAAAAATGAAACTGGTAAAATTTGAGTACAATAAGTCAACCCCTTCACGTGCCTCAAAGGGGTTGAAGTTCTTCAAAAATGGGGTGGATTATCTTTTTTTGAGTGTACGCTCTTTATTTTTGAAGTTTCGCCAAAAACACATAGAACAATTTTTTATAGAACTCAATGTGAACAAATAAAAAGTACAAAGTTAGGTTTTTCGTTTCCGCGATCCGGAGCATGTTCAATGAGTATGCATCTTAACTTGTCATTTAAAGATGGCTAATTATGAGAATTGTTAAAAATTATTTCAGAAAGTTTCAATGAATTAATTCCTTCATCAACAAGTAATTGTTTCTCAATTATGATTTGGGAAGAGCCATGATTATCTAAATTATTTTCTTCTAATATTACAGGTACTTCTTGAAGACTCAATTTAATATTTGCGTTTCTTCCATTTCCATTATTACCACTTTCACAATTAGTTATTATATTATTATTCAAGTTTTGAAAATCTACCACGTTTTCTAGCGATGTCTGTTCGTTTGTTTCTACTTTAAGCCATTTATTTTTTTATATATATATTTTTTTATTCTTCATCTTTTTGCTTCTTTTTGTTTTGAAAATAAAAACCTGAAGGTATTTTGAACAATTTTAATTAAAAAATAAATTTTATGCAAAAAATAATACATACAAAAAAAAAAAAAAAACCCAAAAAATTCAATATGTATTAAAGAGTTAACTGGACATCTTAAAATTATGTTATCAGATGGTTTATATTTATAGTATAAAATAATTTTATCTCCTTTATTGTATTACATGTATTTTTAAAAATGATAAGATTTATTTCAAAAGTAATTCCAATTATGGATAAATTAACAAATAAATAAAAATTAGACATTCACCGTTTCATAAAATTTAATTAAATTTCATTATGTATTTTTTTATTATAAAAAAAGTTAACGAAAAAAAATGATGATATTTAAAAAAAAATCCCACTGTGTTTTTAAATAACACAATATTGAGGAGTAAATTTAAAAGTTAAGTTGATAATTTTCTTTTTTTTTTATATGCATGATTCAATTTTTAATCCCCCTATATAAAAGAACATAGTCAGATTAAAAGAAGTATGCCAAATAATAGGGAAATGTATGAAATATTTAAACAAAGTTTTATTAATTATTTCTAAAAATTGAAACTTTAAAAATATAAAATCGAGAATTTTAAACACAAAAATAACTAGTTTATTAAATATTTTTAAAATTGTTCAACTTCAAGGTTATCTAAAGTTATAAATGTGTTTCTAAAAATCAATAGTCTAAATACGAATTTAAATAAAATATATATATATTTATATTTAATTCAATTTGAATTATATACAGGTGATCGATGTATTGTAAACTATTTGATTACTTACAAAGTAAATAATTTACTGATTAAAATTTCAATTTTATAGCTTTGAAGCGAAGCTGAGAATTTATTAATTTTACTATAATTTGTTTCTTTGTGTCTATTACGACTTTTTCTCAGCTGTCACCGAACTGATTTCTTTCAACGATATGTCAAAAGATCTCAAATTGTATCTGGTCGAAGACTTTACACTTGAAAATTGAAAAAATTTCCCTCGTTCCCCATTAATGGGAAATCTCCAAAAAAATTATAAATTTAAAAATCGCTAATTTTCGAAATATTTTTTACTTTAAACTGCCATAACTTTTCAATAATAATTATATGAATATAATTTTTTTTTTATAGATGCATAATGTCTTATCTTATCATTTGATATATTTTTTTTTATAAATTTAATCCTTACCTGCCCACGGGGGGGATTCAATATGACAATATTTTCACAAAAAATTAACTTTTTTAACTTAACTTTGTAATGTGTTCCGGAAATACAGACAATTTTAAATATACCTTAAATTAAAGCTTATATAATATACTTCATTATTGAAAAAAAAAATTTCGGATTTTATTTTGTCTTTACGTAAAATCTTTTTTGCCTCTCCTTATTAGTGCCTATTATTATAACATTTAATTAGTTTAGAGTAGAGGGGTAAAGTATGATTGCCATACCCCCCAAAACGGCCCCGGCCGTTTCCTCTCCCTAGGTGGACGGCTGTGTAAACGGCCGAGGAGATATGGTAAAAGGCATAGTCTCCTCACCCACCCATATGATGTGGGTTCACCCTGTCATAGGTGGACGGGCGATGTAAACGGCCGGGGGGATATGATAAAAGGTCAATGTTTCTCGTTCCTAGATAGCATTTCGTTATACCATGGTACATGTTACCTTGGTATATGCATAATATACCTAGGTAGATGGAACATCATACAGTATACTTTGATATATCATAGAAAAATTTGAGGGATTTTGAAAACTGCCTAATTTTAGAGATATGTGAAAATATTTGAATGCAGAAAAGTGATAGGTGTAATCAAGCGTAAGTAAGTCAAGTAAGGGAGCTCTCTATGAACAATACACGTCATAGTGGGATTTCGTTGGATTAATAGCCGCCGTCGCCGCTTGATTACACCTATCACTTTTCTGCATTCAAATATTTTCACATATCTCTAAAATTAGGCAGTTTTCAAAATCCCTCAAATTTTTCTATGATATATCAAAGTATACTGTATGATGTTCCATCTACCTAGGTATATTATGCATATACCAAGGTAACATGTACCATGGTATAACGAAATGCTATCTAGGAACGAGAAACATTGACCTTTTATCATATCCCCCCGGCCGTTTACATCGCCCGTCCACCTATGACAGGGTGAACCCACATCATATGGGTGGGTGAGGAGACTATGCCTTTTACCATATCTCCTCGGCCGTTNCGTTCATCATATCCCCCCGGCCGTTTACACCGCCCGTCCACCAAGGACTGGGTAACCTACATCATGTGGGTGGGGGGACTATGCCTTTTACCATATCTCCTCGGCCGTTTACACAGCCGTCCACCTAGGGAGAGGAAACGGCCGGGGCCGTTTTGGGGGGTATGGCAATCATACTTTACCCCTCTACTGTTTAGTTAAAATATATAGGGGTACGTGCCACTGATGATAGGATTCGTCATTAAACTAGCTATTATTATTAACACTACACTATTATTATTCGTCTATACTTCAGCGAATAATTTTTCACCTATATTTTAAATATTAGAAAAAACCTGTGTACACGATAAAAGACAATTTATTATGTGTGTTTGAGAAGCGATAAAGATTTCCACATTAAAATCTAGATTAGGTATAATTTTAAAATACAGTGGAACCTCGATTAACCGTGCTTCGATTATCCGTGTTCGCGATTAACCGTGCTCATTCTTCCGAAAATTTAAAAATAGTTATGGATTGTACATATTATGGCTATAACAATATCAAGATAAACAATATTGTAGATTATTACAAATTGTATCTATCGTATCACCTTCAATTTACTATAAGCGTTCGCGACGTTACCTTATCTAATAATGAGTGTTAAACGAAAACGTATCGTTCTTTCTCTTGAGAAAAAAGTGTTGATTATTAACCGAGCTGTAGATCTTGGTGAAAGTATACAAAAACTTGCAGACGAGTTTGGCGTGGGTCAACAGACAGTTCGTCACTTAATCAAACAAAAAAATGAAATTTTTAAGTTCATATCTTGTCCAGAATTATCAGCTACGAGAAAAACTATGAAAAAGTCATCATTATCAGATATGGAATCTGCTCTTTTTGAATGGTTTAAACAGAAGCGTATTGAAGGACTTCCAATGTCTGGGCCAATAGTTTGTGAAAAGGCAAAATGGTTTCATGAAAATTTGAAAATAGAGGAAAGTTTTAATGCTTCACAAGGTTGGTTATTTAGATTCAAAACTTGTCATGGTATAAGACAGCTGGACATTCAAGGTGAATGTCTCAGTGGAGATTTGACTGCTGCAACACTGTTTAATGACGAATTCAATTCAATGCTTTCAAAATTGAACCTGTCCCCTGATCAAGTGTACAACGCAGATGAATCAGGTCTATTCTGGAAAATGTTACCCTCAAAAACACTTGCCGCGCAATCTGAAAAATCAGCTCCTGGACATAAATCTAGCAAAGAACGACTTACTATTATGACATGTTCAAATGCAACCGGTACACATAAGATCAAATTAACTGTAATTGGAAAAGCTAAAAAACCAAGATCTTTTAAAGGAACCGAAATGAAATATTTTCCATGTGATTATTACCACCACCCAAAAGCTTGGATGAACCAGGTTATTTTTAGTGGTATTTTAACGTTTTTGCACCTTCTGTAAAAAAATTTCAAGATGAAAAAGGTATACCAAAAAGAGCTGTTCTTCTGCTTGATAACGCTCCTTCACACCCCTCAGAATCTAACCTGAAAACAATGGATGGTCAAATTTTTGTCTATTATCTACCACCTAACGTAACTTCCTTAATACAGCCAATGGATCAAGGCGTGATTTCCTGTTTGAAACGAAAGTACAAAAAGATATTTCTCCGTTATCTCTTACAAGAAAATTGTTATGATTCAATGAAAGAACTTTTGAAAACATGGACCATAAAAGATGCCATTTTCGCAGTATGTAATGCTGGGAAAATGTACCTGCAAGTACGTTACGACTTCCTTGGGCGAAAATCTTAGATCAAGGTTATGGTGACGAAGAAAATGTCGAAGATACAGATATAGAAGATTGTCTTGAACTTGCTACATCTATTCCAGATTTCACTAACGTTGATAAAGACGATATTGTTGATTGGCTACAAAAAGATCATAACGAAGAGGGATTTGAGCGTTTAAGTGACTTTGACATAGCAGCTCGTTATGGCAGTACAAGTACACTATCTACCTCACAAAAGCTTGATTCTTCTTCTGAGAGTGATAATGAAAGTGAGAGTTTTGAAAAAATACAGACTAGCCAAGCAATGGAAGCAGTTAATGTCCGTTTGAAATTTTGCGAGCAGGAGGATTTTGACTTCCATGACGTTCTTGGCTTAAGAAAAATAAGAAGTGAAGTGAGGACAATTATTTCAAAACAAAAAAAACAAAGGCTGATCACTTCTTACTTTTCTTAAGTCAATAACGTCATCCTCATAACTTATTATGTATGCATCATTTGTATTAATATAAAACATTTTTTAATTAAATTAAATAAATTACATTTCTTATTATAATTAAATAAAAATTTCATTATTATAAAAAGTCTCGATCAACCGTGGTTTTCATTTATCCGTGTGACCCGCTCCCCGTCATTACCCCGGATAATCGAGGTTCCACTGTAAATGAATAATATATATTTACTAACAAATAGTAGTGATGATACTAAAATAAATTAAATGGATTAGACATCTTTGTTATTTTTATAATAACAAAGAAAAATGTATTCAATGTTAGTTTACAAGTGATAAGTACATATTTGTAAGGGGAATAACAATTATTTAATATTATATAATGTTTAACTACTAATAATAAAAATATCAAAGAATAACACTTATGAAAAATAATGGAGTGCAATGTTAAAAATATGTGAAGTCTAATTTTGTAACAATTTCATTGTAATCATTATTAAAAAAAGGAAACGCTATTCCGATATTTTTTTTCATGGAATTATCAAACTGATTTCAAAAAATGTATATTAGATTTTAAAGAAAAAGAACTTTAAATAAATAATTTTTTACTCCTTAATATTTTTAACTTATCTTTGAGTACCACTGGAGATTATAATGGTTTTACTAATAATTTAACATTGATTATAAAACTCATGTCACAAAATTAAAATTTATTTAATATATTTTTACTTTTAGACGACACACAGAATTTTTAAATAAATATTATTTTAATTTTTTTATATAAAAGTTAAAGTTTATTTTAGTAATTTATTTTCAATTAAAATTGCTGAAAGAAAAATTAATCATTATCTACTGAGCCAACACAAACCTATTGGAAGAAACTTCCAGAAAGTAATAAGACTAAAAAAAGTGTATTCAACAATTACTGCATGGAAGTTAGATATTGTCGTAATATGCACAATGCTCTACATTACGCATCTTACATTTTATCAATATTTAATATTTAATTAATAATATAATTATATTTAATATAATTTAACATATCAATATTTAATACCAATTTTATAAAAACAAATAATTAATTTATCTGTTATAACACATACACTGTTGTACACTAGCTATTATATATGTATATACATGTTAAATTGATTATTGTACACTATATATCTTATCTTAAAATAACTATCATGGTATGTTCAATTTAATACAATAAATTGAGAATCACTAAAAGCGCTGACGACAACAACCCATGAAGAGGTAATTAAAAATAATATAAAAAGGCTTAGTTCTGCTTGCACATCAGTGAGCGAGCATGCCAGCGAGCGGCTCATTCTCTCTCCTTTTTGAAGATCTGAATTCAATAAGGAATTCAGTATTCTTCTAATTGATTTATTTTGAGCAAACTAGTCGTCGGTACATTTTAAAGCGATATCGAATACAATTATTTTGCGTTAACACTTTATTTATGTAAAAGAGATAGTATAAATATTTACTCAATTTCTTGACGATCTTTGTACAAGCCAAATAAAAGAAGTAATTAATTTATATTAGCCCAATTATTTAGAATTAATAATCTGAGTAAAGAATGATAAAGCGATAGATCATATATTTATATTTATTTTCAAACTTTATTAATTGTTACTGACTAGTTCGTACCTAATACATAATCACATTACATGGTACTCGTGAGATGGCCACCGCCTCTTCGTTGCCGCAGTGTATTATTTCAGGTACTTACTAGTTAGGTCATTGTAATACCTCTATAGAAAAACTTTAATAATTTCTTTTTATATCTACTTGTCTTTATTGTTCTAAACCCTAGGACTCTACATCCCGATAGAACCTCATTGCTCCTGAATTGACCAAATCCCCAAATATCCAACATTGGTCAATAAATACACCTGACAACTTTTTTTTTTTTTTGTATTACTACAATATACTATGTTTTTTTATACTTAGATATCATAATGCAGCACAGGAAAACTGTCTACAGTATCAATAAACTAACAAAAGTTGTATGACAATCGTCAGAGTGACCGAAAAGGAACAATCAAAATTACTTAGAGTTTTAAATAGTAAAAAGCCTATACATTGCGCCCATAGAAATTGGGAACTGTGTGAATATCCGTTTGTACCTCAAAACGAATCGTTTTCGTGGACCCTTAAAACATGTAATAATTTTCAAAAGCCCCGTTATGTTATAGTAGGGTTTCAAACAGACCGCAAAAATAGTAAAAGTAAATCAATGTCTGAATTTGATCACTGTAATTTAACAAATCTTAAAGTCCATTTAAATTCAGAAGTTTACCCGCACAACGATTAATATGTAATTTTGACTGTAAGCTATTTAGTATTTTTTTTTCCTACTATGTTAATTTTCAAAAGAATTATTATGATAGACCTTGCTGTTCCTTTATTAAATAAAAAACAAATTTCTTAATTTAATACCTATTGCCATAATGGACTTGTCAAAGCAGAACGATACAATTACAGTCTCGTCTCTTGACTTACGTATTGAAATTGAAGCATCAGCCGCGTTTCATGCTAATACAACTGCATATGCTCTAGTAATTTCAGACAATGTATTTACATATACACATTTTGACGGAACTGTCCGTATAATTTAAATTAAATTTTCTACACGTTTATGTAAACATTTATTATTAACCTTATAATTATTATTGTTGTTATTATGAAATAAATATATTATATACAAATAACAACAATTTTTTTTTAGTTTAGATTATAAGTTTATTATAAGAAACTAGTACAATATATAAAGTTATTGTTTATAAATTATTAATGTAAGTTAATTTTCTGACGTGATTGGTTTTCGGCCATTGTGAAGCCCATGGACTATAACTATTTTCTTGGGTAAACACTGTTGTATTGAAAAATGCCGGACCGTAATTTTCGTCATACATTTCTTCTTTTTTCTAAAACAAATTATAAATTTAATAACAATAAAGGTTATGCCAATTTGTATTCATTATACTCGCATTAATTTGAAGCGTACCCTCGGACTATGACTTGACCCAACGATCAACTATTACATTGTATACTAAATTCTTCGGCTCGCTTTTGTAATTACTGTCACCTTTAGGAATAGTATCGCATAATTCTTTGTCATTCAAACTTCTTATAAAAGTAACCATTTCATCATTGTTTGATTGTTGAATTTTAGGGCCCGACCATTTACCGTCGGCGTATTGTATGATGCGGTCTATTTGATGACATAATAGTAAACGTGTTTATTTTTCTTGATATTGTACTGTTAATAGTACACTGTAAGTCCATAAGTCTATTAATGTTTTCGTTATTCAATAACACTCGACACCCATCGACCATCCTGGATTCTAATACTAAATGCATGGTATCACGGTACAATACTTTGGTTATATTAAAATCGACATTTTGGTATAACAAAATGTTCTCTCCTTTTACCAGTGGTGATTGTAGAAATAAAGTTATTTCATCCCTCATGCCGTAAATAATATTTAAATAGTCCGCTGATATACTAATATATCGTGAAGGAGTAATAATGCATACCGTAACATTGAAGTCATCATTTGGATTCAGGCCCACTTGCAAAAATTTTCTGTCGCTGAACGCAATAGTGTAACTGCTAGAGTCAATCATCTCGGCTGGCGGTGTTGGTGCGATATAAATGTAGCGCTGTTTTCTTACAGGTTCGGCNTATTGGTGCAATATAAATGAAGCGCTATTTTCTTACAGGTTCGGCAGCCATATTATTCATAGAGTAGAGTCTTCTTTTTAGAGCTGATGGCTCTCGATGACACTGTGACTTTATCAACGATTTCATGTTCATTTATGCGGAAAAAACGAATTTTTTCATAGGGGAGTCAGCAAATCACAGAACACATATCCCCGTATACTAACTCTTTTCTTCATCACTTAAGTAATTTCGCTTTAATATCATATAATTAATTTTAAACTCTCGATTTCTAAATATTTGTATACAAATATATGTAATAGATTATGTGTATACATGTTTTATATAATAACGATTACACATTAACAAAAAATGTCTATTAACAAACGCGGTAGTGTGACTGAATAATCAAAAAAGAATTTGATAAAATATTATTTCTAACGTATAAATATTTTTTCTATAATTAAAAAATAACTCAATTCTTATGAAATAGTATAATATTGTACATATTTATTTATTTACTTTAATATCATAATAATGATCACCTTATGATGAGTTTCCTCAACACCTCCCCCTCTATGTATGGGTAAACCGTTGATTTACTGTTTTAATACAATACTGTTTTAATACACTTGTAAAAATTTTCTGTCGCTGAACGCAAAGAGTAACTGGTAGAGTCGAGTCAATCATCTCGGCTGGTGATGTTGGTGCGATATAAATGTAGCGCTGTTTTCTTACAGGTTGGGCAGCCATATTGTTCATAGAGTAGAGTCTTCTTCTTCTAGAGCTGATGGTTCTTGATGACACTGTCACTTTATCAACGATTTCACGATCATTTATGCGAAAAATCATATATTTTCATAGGGGGTCAACAAATCACAGATCACATATCTCAATAAACTAACCCATTCCTTTACCACTTAAACATTTTTAACTTATAATTACTTATTAATTACAATTTATTAAATAATTTCTAATAAACTATTCATTTTTTCATAGCCCCTCTTCTTATGTACCCCCACATGTAGATTAACCCTCCATACTTGTGATATCTACTGTCATGAGAGAGCCCCCTCCATTATACTCTTAATCTTTCATGGAATGGGGGTCATATGCCTATCACCATATCCCCCCGCCCGTTTATGCCGTCCATCCACCTAGGACAGGGTAAATCCACATCATGTGGGTTAGGGGGGTCCTTATTCATACTTTTCATATCTACTTTCCACCTATGGTCCGGTAATCATATATGATAGGTGTGACACCTCGCCTAGGTGGTGGCAGTAGTATGTTTTTCTTTTTACTAACACAATAGCCTGATGGCAGATTAGCTGATTATGGCTGATTATTAAATATAATTTTCTAACACAATAAGCATCATCTAGAAAATTCTTTCGCGGGGGCGGCGATGGTGGTGATGACGATAGTATGCATTGTTACATACATGACGTCACAACTATTCTTGATAAAACGTTTTATATACTAGTTGTGGACCGTTGTGTGTTAATTTAATTATCATGAATATGATAACAGTGTTTTTATTATTATTAGAGATTTTTAAAACGAATTGATTGAAAATTGTTAAATACGTATGTATTTCACTGGGTTTTTGGTGATGTTTTGAGTAAAAATTATTATTACCTGATAATAATAATTTATTATATTATTGAATACCTGTGTAGCCTATTGAAGTCAATAGAATTAAATCAAATGATGTTNTGTCCTATTTCTTAATATTACATGAATATAGTGCATGTCTTAAGACTACACTTACCTTGATGTCCAAATGGATTCGTAGATAGATGGTGAATTGTGATGTTCCTTGTTGATGTCGATATTTTAAGTTAATTTAAATAAATAAAAATACAGATATGAGGGGCAACATACTGAGTTTATTTCTATAACTTGTATTAATTATTTTGACAAATATATATAAGTCTTATAATTAAAATTAACAAAAGTAACGTGAATTTTACATTATTAACTTTTAATATGAAAGTGTAAGATTATGGGGGAATAATAAGTGAAAATGAAAGTGAGAGTATGCGAGAGAGATAAAATGGAAAGAGAGTGTCTGTGCTAATTTTACTAGCCCTTTTATATTAAATTAGTTGGTAAGGTAATGAAGGGAGGCTAGTTTTTCTTAAAAATTTAACTATTTAATCTTGCCGTCTGTTCGGCGCCACAGATACGCTTATGGTAATTAAAAAGATGGACATTAATGTAAACATCGCTCCAAATGAACGATGTATTTGTAAAAAAGTAATAAAAGAATAGTCGGTCAGAAAAGTATTTAAAATTGATAATTATTTGTGTAAAGATTATTCTAGAAGTTTCTCGGATAGTCTCGAAACTTCTATTTTGATTCATTACAGCATCGAACATCATTATAACACATTGCGCTACNATTCTAGTGTCCTATTTGCCTTTTTACATTCATGCACACAGAGAGGTATTCTGAAAGTATACATGACGATGAAGATATCTTGGGATATCGTATTTTCAATAATAATATGATATATTATATTAAAAAAATTATTATTATTATTTATTTGAAAATGTTATCCTATAGACCTATGTTTTGTGTTAACAAACGGTAGGATAGCTAAAAAGGTATGACCCTCGATGACCATGTCTTTAGTTCTATACACACAGACGTATTTGAAATAGTCTTTTCTTCTCTACCGATCGTGGGAATTAACCCCCCGGGTACCATGGATTAATCCATTTCTTGAAAAATTTTATTATATTATGTATTAGTCAGTCTAGACATATAATATTTTTCTTCTCACGTGTTAAGGCATTTTGTTTAGTAAAACTAGTAAATCCAATAATGATAATAATGGTTATGTGTGTGTGTGTATGTGTATACTCATCTTATTCTTGCTAAATCATATAAAAACGCAACATCCTATGGTTTTTGTATCATTCAGTTGGTTCACGATTTAGGTGTTTAATAACAACAACTACATTTCTTTACAACAACACGAAAAAGATATTAAGAATAATATCATCATGACTAACGTAAGTGTTAATTTTATTAACTTATTAAAAAATATATGATAAAAAAATTGTTACTATTTTTTTTAGAATACACCAAAATACGGCGGCGAGGAGTTTTTTAATATTTTAAATAATATTAGATATGAACCTCGTGAAAACAACTCTCCAATTTACCGAGATGTTTTTGGTAACTTAATGGTTAACCCAGACAACGAATTAGGAATTCAACTGTCGTTTAGTGAATACGGTGCAATAGTGAGTATTATTTAAAAAAAAAAAATTTATAAAATTAATGTAATAAATTAAATATTTAAAATTAATTATAGACACAGAACTCAAATGATTCAATCTATTTCATCGATTCAATCAAGAATCATAGACCAATAATTGAATCACGTGATACGGTAAGCAATGATGACAATGAACATATCACCTCATCGAGTTCGGATATGTTCCCTGAGCTTATACAGGGGGAGATAATAAACGAACCGGTATTTTCTGATATAGGTAAGTTAATTAAATATAATGATAAATTAATAATAAAATTTTGTGTTAAACTAAATATTTGCTTTATTACTATTATAGTTTCGGTTAGGGAGATTAATCTGTGTAATCACACCGATTCTCTCCTAGACCGTGCACCACCACCACATATTCATTCGTTGTCGGAATTTGANCAACCACCACCACACATTCATTCGTTGTCGGAATTAGATGAACCGATTGCCCACTCGACTCAAAACATCTCCCCTGAACTTGTTCACAATGATATGATAAATGGTAAGGTACTTAAATATATGAAACAATTATGTCTTAAATTAGATTTAATATTTATTATTATTATTATTATTTTACAATAGCCCCGATTGAGACTAATCTATGGAGTAATGACAATGACTCCCACACAAATTCATTGCTCATACATGCTGCAGAAATAGGGGAATTATTTGATTTAATGTATTTTTAATATATATATATATATATAATATTATTAATAAAGATTATTTAATCTCAACACATTTCTTATTTATTTATTTATGAAACACTGAAATAATATAGAGAGAAAAAACTTTTTTAATGGTTATGTATATAGGTAATATTCAGTGAAGGGTAGTGGTGGTGGTGGTGGTGGTGGATATGGTATTCGGTCAACACCTAATGACCACGGGTCAACTATAAAAGTGACCTGAAAGTACATGATAGGTCAGATGCAATTTTTGATTCTTACTGTAAACCGAGTTTTTACTCTAATTCATAAAGTTATCATTTATTGCTAAATACATACACATATAAGCAGACATTATTATTTTTCGTGACTAGATATTTAATATTATAAATATTTTGAGTGAATTATTCAAGTAGTATCTTAGTAATAGTTTATTATTATTAAATGTATTAGTAGTACTAAGTTTAATTATAGTAGTCTTTAAGCATTTATATGAATTTGGTTAAATTAATCTTCCAGCTCTATTTTAGTGTTAAGTTTATCATTACTAGTCTTAAGGCTTATAACATAATAATAATATTCTAAATCTAATTTTCAACTGCTTTATTTTAATTTTATAACTGCTTTATGTTAATTATTATTATTATTATTATTATTATTAACTGCTTAATTTTAAATAATCGTGGTTAAAATGTATTCCTGTGGTAAATGCACAAAATCTTTTACTTTAATGCAAAATTTAAAACGTCATGAGAAAACCCACACTGGTATCCGTCACCCATGTTCAATTTGTCAAGCGGATTTTAAGTATCCAGGAGATCTAAAAAAACATTTTAACAAACACAGTGAGTAACTTTTTGGATCATTTTATTTAAAAAATTATACTAAATCATATACGATGATATGTATACATATATATTAGGGTGGCCCTCAAAAATCGAATGTCTTTTTTTTTTTTTACGCTACCCCTTAATTTTTTTTTAATGGTCAAAAAAATGAGCTGTACAAAATTTGGGACCGATCCGTTAAGGTTAACCCGTGCCCCCGGGCCTATTAAGTTGAGTCGAAGAGTCAAATTTAATAGAAATGACTGATCTATGTCTCATAACTTTTTTTTCTCTTAACTTAGAATTATAAAAGTAAAACTCAAGTAAAGGAAATTTTACAAGAAATTCAAAAATAATAACTTCAATGTTGTTTTTTTAATAAATAGCCCACAAAAACACTACATACAGTAAAAAAACATGTAAAAGTCTTAAAATACGTTATAACTGATTTTGTTGATTTTTAATTATTTATTTTCATTTTATTTTTTGGAAAACGCATATTCGTTTAAAAAAAGATTCTAGAAGTTTAATTTTTTATGCCAAGTACGATAATTATATTAGATTTATTATTTTATGGACAGTTAATTAATGATTAATTACAAA